CGACGCCAAGACGAGTCTGACAGTTCGGATTGAATCGTTGCACTCTCGTCGCCTTTTAATTTGGCAGGAGAGCTCCTGCTCTTCTTTCCCAAGGCAGTATTGAGGCACGGCCCAGTGCGACTGCCCTTTTGGCAGGCGCCCGTGCATTTCTTCTGGGGCGAGGGCGGGGGTCATGTCGACCCTTCCGCGGCCTCCCCTTTAGCTCGCAGCCCTGCTAGCCTGTGTCCCTTTCGTTGGAGCGGAAGGCGGCGGGTCCTTGATCGCTCTGCCCAGTTGGGCTTTGGCCGCATCTGGAGGGCCCGCCATGGGGGCACTGGCTCAGGGTGCGAGTTGGGCCCGCACCTGGGGCAGCCCAGGGGCCGCCCAGGCGTCCGCCCTTAGGGTTAGGTACACCTGGGGTTTCCTGGCTGTCGTCCTGGCGTCGCCCATGAGCTGTTTCAAGTTCGATTTTGACGTTCGAGGATTGTTCCGTAGCGCAATGGTCTTGCCCGTGGCAGTTGAGTTCAAGCTGGGAGGGGAGAGACGGCCATCCCCCGCGTCCTAGCACTTGCCCAGTGCATCAGAGTATGTAAGTCCGATTGTTGCAGTGTCATGCCCCACATCTGGGGCGAGGCTCGCCTTCGTCCTGGCGCTCTCTGCACCTGGGGAGGCTGGCCTCGTCGTCCTTGAAAGGGCGGTCGAATTTTCTTCCTCTCTGTTTCTATTTGCTCCATTGGCCTCAGGCCTTTGGGTTGTCTCCTGTGCAGGAGGCTTCTGTATGCATACCCCCCATATCTGGGGCGAGGCCTGTGGCCTGGCGCTCTCTGCACCAGGGATTGTAGGTCTCGTCGTCCTTGTGTGGGCGGTCGACCCCTTTTTTGTTTTTTTTCTTTGTCCTCCGAATGCTCTGCCTCGGCACAGGTGCGCTGTGTTCGTTCGGCCCGCGCGTGCGCTCGCATCGTTCGGCGCGCGTGTCAGGCGCCCCGCTTCGGGGGGAGGCGCGCAGCGCACTCGTGTGTGGACATTTTTTTTCTCCTTGCACGGGGGCGGGCTTAGGCCCGCCCTGACAGTGGCTCGGACTGCGGTGTTGCAGTGGCCAGGCTGCTCCGAACTCCTGGCCCCGACACTTCGAGGCGAAGCAGCGCGCTGGCTGCTACAGCCGCCCGCTCATGTGCACAGTGGTGAGTGGGTGGGCTGTGCTTCTTTTACTCCTGCAGGATTGCCTGCAGGTGCTTTGTCTTTCTCTGCCTAAATCGGGTGGAGATGTGCACAGCAGGTCGCCGAGTCAAACAAAAAACCACTAACCGTGTGAGGGGTGTGCCAAAATGGGTGGCGGTCCCCGCGTGCGGGCCCTGCCGCTGGAGCCTTCGGTGGAGCTCCTTGTGGGGCCACGAACCGTGTGATGGGTAGGCCGACATGGGTGGAGTTGACGCATGCGGACCCTGCCACTTGTGCCTTCGGTGGAGCTCCCTGTTGGGTCACGAAACGTGTGAGGGGTGTGCCGACATGGGTGGCGGGCGCTTGCGCTGTGCCACTGAGGCCTTCGGTGGAGCTCCCTGTTGGGCCACGAACCGTGTCAGGGGTGTGCCAAAATGGGTGGCGTTGACGCATGCGGACCCTGCCGCTGGAGCATTCGGTGGAGCTCCCCGTGGGGCCACGAACCGTGTGAGGGGTGTGCCAAAGTGGGTGGCGGCCCCCGGATGCGGACCCTGCCGCTGGGGCCTCCGGTGGAGCTCCCTGTGGGGCCACGAACCGTGTGGGGGGTGTGCCAAAACGGGTGGCGTGGATGCATGCGGACCCCGCCACTGGGGCCTTCGGTGGAGCTCCTTGTAGGGCCACGAATCGTGTGAGGGGTGTGCCAAAATGGGTGGCGGTCCACGCATGCGGACCCTGCCGCTGGGGCCTCCGGTGGAGCTCCCTGTGGGGCCACGAACTGTGTGAGAGGTGTGCCAAAATGGGTGGCGGTCCCCGCATGCGGACCCCGCCGCTGGGGCCTCCGGTGGAACTCCCTGTGGGGCCACGAACCGTGTAAGGGGTGTGCCAAAATGGATGGCGTTGGCGCGTGCGGACCCCGCCATTGGAGCATTCGGTGGAGCCCCCCGTGGAGCCACCAACCGTGTGATGGGGTGTACCAACATGGGTGGCGTTGACGCATGCGAACCCTGCCGCTGGAGCCTTCGGTGGAGCTCCCTGTGTGCCAAAATGGGTGGCGGTCCCCGCATGCGGACCGTGCCGCTGGGGCCTCCGGTGGAGCTCCCTGTGGGGCCACGAACTGTGTGAGAGGTGTGCCCAAATGGGTGGCGTTGACGCATGTGGACCCTGCCGTTGGGGCCTTCGGTGGAGCGCCTTGTGGGGCTACGAGCCGTGTGAGGGGTGTGCCAAAATGGATGGCGTTGACGCATGCGGACCTTGCCACTGGAACATTTGGTGGAGCTCCTTGTGGAACCACTAACCGTGTGAGGGGTGTGCCAACATGGGTGGCGTTGACGCATGCGGACCCTGCCGCTGGAGCCTTCGGTGGAGCTCCCCGTGGGGCCACGAACCGTGTGAGGGGTGTGCCAAAATGGGTGGCGGTCCCCGCATGCGGACCGTGCCGCTGGGGCCTCCGGTGGAGCTCCTTGTGGGGGCACGAACCGTGTGAGGGGTAGGCCGAAATGGGTGTCGTTGATGCAGGCGGACCCTGCCGTTGGGGCCTTCGGTGGAGCTCCCTGTGGGGCCACGATCCTCGTGAGTGGTGTGCCAAAATGGGTGGCGGTCCCCACATGCGGACCCTGCCATTGGGGTTTTCGGTGGAGCTCCCTGTGGGGCCACGAAACGCTGGGTGGCGTTGACGCATGCGGTCTGTGCCATTGGAGCCTTCGGTGGAGTTCCTTATTGGGCCACGAAGCGCTGGCCTGGGTGGCTTTGACGCATGCGGCCTGAGGCGGATGGGCAGAGGGAGGAGGGGGAGGAGTGAGGAGGAGGAGGAGGTGACGCGGGGCGCTGTCTCTTCAAAACGAGAACCCAACACCACAGGATGGTTGGGAAATAATCAGGGGATGATTCCCTAATCAGAGCTTGCCTCTGTAGGGGTCCTGGCGGATTCATATGGTTAGGTTCGGTTTGTCGCCGATTTTCGCTGCACGCCCGGGTGCCCGGGTGCCCGGGGGTGCCAGGGGCCCGGGTGCCCGGGGGTGCCCGGGGGTGCCCGGGTGCCCAGGTGCCCGGGTGCCCGGGCGTGCCCGGGGGTGCCCGGGGGTGCCCGGGGGTGCCCGGGGGTGCCCTGTAGCCCCATAGCCCTAAGCCCTATAGCACTATAGCCCAATAGCCCTATAGCCCTATAGCCCTATAGTCCTATAGCCCTACAACACTATAGCCCTATAGCTCTATAGCCCTATAGCTCAATAGCCCTATAGCCCTATAGCCCCCTAGCCCTATAGCCCTGATTGGGTTTTTCATCGGTATCATTTTTTGTAATATGTTTGAATATTCCTCAATCAGAGCTTGCCTTTGTAAGGGTCCTAGCGGATTCATATGGTTAGGTGAGCTTTGCCGCTTATTTCCGCGGCCCGCCCGGGTGCCCGGGTGCCCGGGTGCCCAGGTGCCCGGGTGCCCGGGTGCCCGGGTGCCTTGTAACCCTATAGCCGTATAGCCCCATAGCCCTATAGCGCTATACCCTATAGCTCTATAACCCTATAGCCCTATAGCCTTATAATTCTATAGCCCCATAGCCCAATAGCCCTATAGCCCCATAGCCCAACAGCTCTATAGGCCTATAGCCTCATAACATTATAGCCCTATAGCCCTATAGCCTTATAGTCCTATAGCTCAATAGCCCTATAGCCCCATAGCCCTATACAGCTCTATAGTCCTATCGCCCAATAGCCAAATAGCCCTGTAGCACTACAGCCCTATATCCCTATAACCCTAGAGCTATATAGCCTCATAGACCTATAGCCCTATAGCCCAATAGCCCCATAGCTCTATATGCCTATCGCCCTACAGCACTATAGCCCCATCGCACTATATGCGTATAGCCCTATAGCCCTATAGTCCTATAGTCCTTTAGCCCCATAGCCCTATAGCTCTATAGCCCTATAGCCCTATGGTCCTGTAGTCCTATAGCCCAATAGCCCTATAACCCCATAGCCTCATCGCCCTATAGCCCAACAGCCCCATAGCCCTACAGCTCTAAAAAGACTTTGATTGTTTTTTTCTCCGGTATCATATGTTGATTTTCGACTTCTGTGTTGCGTCCAAAATCCGCCTGTAGGAGGACACGCCCGACCTAACGCCAGCCGCACGCCAAGATGTCTTCTCCCCGCAGCTGCCCCTCGCCCAATCAGCGCCGCGGCAGCCAGGTGGAGCTCCAGGTGGGTGGCCGGTCTGCACCCATCGGTCGCTGAAAGCAGGTCTTTTCTTGGAGCCCCAGGTTCCAATCTGCGCCTTCCTGCTTCAAGGATCGACTGGTTTCCTTCTTCTCTCCTCTTCAGGGGGGGGGCTTTAGAGAGGCGGCGTCGGGGAGGCCCGCCTTCTTGGAAGGCCGCCCCCCTCGGAGGAGGAGGAGGAGGAGGCCGAGAAGGAGGAGGAGGGGGAGGAGGAGGCGGGGGAGAAGGAGGAGGCACAGGAGGAGGAGGAGGGAGGGGAAGGAGGAGGAGAGGTAGAGGAGGAGGAGGAGGGGGAGGAGGGGGAGGAGGAGGGACAGGGGGAGGAGGATGAGGGAGTGGGAGGAGCAGGAGGAGGGGTGCGGGTGAGCCGCCGGCGCGCATCGGCGTGCCGCCGGGGGGGGGGCAGCGAAGGCGCTCGGCAGTGGCGCCCCAGGAGCGCGGGATGGGGGTCAGAGAAGGCAAAGGTACCCATACCTCTACACTCCCCTCGTTTTCTCCTTTTTGGGCCTCCTGGGAGGCCCTCGTCGCTACCGTTGGATTCGCTTCGAAATTCTCGCCAGAACGCACCCGGGGAGAGGTCCGGGGAGTAGCGGTATCGGTACCTTTCGGTTTCCCCAGGGTGGAGCTGGGGAGGGGGGGCCTGGTGCGAGCGAGGTCCTTGTTTCCATACAGTCGCTGCTGAACGAGCACCCGATCCAGGCGTGCGCTCTGGGCCTCTCCGTTCCGTCCCTGCTCTTGTCGGAGGTTCGAGTTTCGAGGATCGAGCACGGAGGTTCGAGGATCGATGGTTGAGGTTTTTGGTTTGTTCGGGGCGACGGTGGTTCTTTCGCCTGAGCCGAGGTTTCCCGATGACACCGCAGATTGGCCTTCGGAGAGATCTTTTTTTCCGCGAGGTGCCCCACTGATTTGAGTGGCAATATCGATCACTGTCAGTTGCCCCGCATGGCCCGAAAGGCCTTGATCCCTTAAGGTGGCGCCGCGTGCTCGGTGCCCACCGACGTAGATAGAGAGGGGGACAAGACCAGTGCCACGCCTCTCAGACCATGTAGTTTTAACTTGGCGACGTCTTTGGTCTCTGCAAGTCCGCAGGGGGATGAGAAAACACTCTGCAAGAAAGCATGCCCTCGACTAGCGAACAGCAACGCGATGTCGTGCAGGTCCATTGTGCTGTTTGTCGCGCCGAGAGGTCTCAAGATCCAGATCCCCTCCTCGAATGCAAAAGTCTTACGCTGGGGCTGAACTGTGCACACTGTTGGGTGCCTTCTCTGGAGGTCTCTGGAGGTCTCTGGAAGTCAGTCCTCAGAGATCCAGAGGCCTCGCAGGCGCAAACATTACACAAAACAAGCAAACAACCTCAATCATCGAGCTTCAATGATGAGAGGACCACCCACCCTCTGCCATGTTCCAGGACCTTCATCGGAGGTTGGGGGGTGAGATCGCAGTGGAACGGAGAGCCCCCCGCCAGAACATCGGTTTCGGTTTCGTGTTCGTGTCGTGCGTGCTGGCGAGGCGAAGCTGCGTGGGCGCGCGAGAGGAATGATCCCGTCGTCGCTGGGGCGATTCGGATGCAAAAGTCAAGCCCTCCTGTGGGCGCGCGGTTGCGGGGGATGTCTGCCACGATGTCTCGCGGTGTCCCGATGGTGTCTCGCGGCGTCTCGCCGTGGGCGCGCGAGAGGAATGTTCCCGTCGTCGCTAGGGCGATTCGGATGCAAAATTCCGGCCCTCCGGTGGGCGCGCGGTGGCTGGGGGTGTCCCGCCGTGGTGTCCCGCGTTGTTCCGATGGTGTTCCGCGGTGTCCCGCCGTGATGTCCCGATGGTGTCTCGTGGTGTCCCATGGTGTCTTGTGGTGCCCCGCGGTGTCCCGTGGTGTCCAGTGGTGCCCCGCGGTGTCCCGCCGTGGTCTCCCGATGGTGTCCCGATGGTGTCCCGATCGATAGAGAGATCGATAGTGACCGATATGTTGTCAGGTCGGTAGTGAGATCGATAGTTGGATCGATAGTGAGGTCGATGGTCAAATCGTTAGTTTCATCGATCGTGCGAGCGGGAGTGAGATCGATAATGAGGTAGATAGTTGCATCGATCGTGCCATCAATAGTGATGTCGATAGTGCGATCGATTGCTTGATCGACAAAGAGATCGATAGTGAGATCGATAGTGAGCTCGATTGATAGATCGACAGTGAGATCGCTTCATATATTGCATATGAAATCGATCGTGAGATCGGTTGAGTGAGATCGTGTGATCGATTGTGAGTTCGAAAGTGAGATCGATTGTGAAACCGATTGTGGGATCGATAGCGAGATCCATTGAGTGAAATCGATAGTGAGATCGATAGTGATATCGGTTTTGAGATCGATCAGGTGAGATCGGTAGTGAGATCGACTGTGGGATCGGTTCAGTTGGCTCTCCTGGATCCAGTCCTACCGATTCCATTACCGACTCAGCAGCATCGTCATCATCACACCTATTGCCATTGCCAGCAGTTGGTTCTTTCTCCTCCCCCCAACCTCCTTGTCACCCGAAGGGTGGTCGTATATGGGTATGTTTTCTTCAAGC